TCCTGCTGACTGGAGGTCTTGTTACCTAGTCCTAGAGCAGTGTGTTTGCATCCCTCTCAATGCTCACCCTGCAGACCCTCGCAAGTTAGCTGCCATCCTCCAGACCACCCTTGTCTAAGCTGGTGAAAGGTAGGGTCTACTCACGGGGAAGCAAAGTGTACCAAAGCACATTATTTTTCCTGCATTTAAATCAGTTCATTCTACTCTCTGCTGCTTATCCTTTGTCACATAAATAGGGATTTAGATCCTATTGCATTTTCTTGTCCTCAGAAATGACAATTTGAGGTGCTGCCTGTGGTTTTGGAGTCCTGCTTTCCCCCACATCATCTAGAAGATGTCACTTAAATGAGCAGGGAATAAATGGCTGAGCTCTGTACTCATGGTCAGGAAGGGAAACACCTTGGCTGGCTCTGCAGCACCAGCTTTGCTCAGACAGACAGGTAGAGTCAGTGCAAACCCTGACTTGCTTCTGTGTGTGAGGCTACAGCCCGAAATCGACAGAGAAAGCCAGTGTGGAAGAGAGGGACCAAGGAAGGGAAAGACCATGGAAAGTCATTGCTTTTAATGTGAGTTAGTGTCTTTCTTCCCTGTGCTGAACATCCTCAATTTCCTGTGTAACTTAAAGTCAACACATCTGTCACTTTAGCATCTCCCGCTGCCCGGTTCCCGGAGCCACCCCCCACCATCTGCTCTCCCTCGCTGCCTCCAGCAGCTCCGCGCTCCTCGTGCTCGGCGGTGGCGGTGGCGGTGGTGGTGGGGGGGTGCGTGCGTGTGTGTTTGCTGCTGCCGGATGGACTTTTCCATTGCTCGTGCTTCAGTACCTGGGTGCGTTTGCAGCGGGATGATCGGCTCGGCTTGAAGAGCATTTACTTCTAATCTCCGGCGTGTGACATCCTAGCGGGAAGGGGCGACCCCTTTCAGGAGCTGCTGCAGGGGCTAGAAAGAGGGGGAATGACTGGTGACTGGCTGTGATGAAATATTTCCTAGTTCTGGTAAGATACGCTTTTCTCTTTGGTCCCTTTCTGGGCAGTCAGTCGGGATATAAGGGTAAAAGGGCTTACCAGGGTAAAAGGCAAAGGGAGGGGAGCTGAAATAGAGACAGGAAAAAAAAGGAGCAAAGTCAGTTTGATTTGTACTGAAGCTTTTCGAGGGGTCAGTGCTCATCAAAGCAATTTAATGGCTATTAGTGAACGGCTGGGAGCTGAGCAGATCAGGCAATGCGTCTGCCTAGGCAAATGGAGCAGCTTTAACTCACATCACTCAGCTTCATCGCCCACTCTGCATCTTTTTTTCCACACTGTTTCCAGTTTGGCCCGGGTTACATTCAGAGCATACAGCCAACACCAGCAGTGCGCTCCCTGGGGTGGTCCCGGCTGGGCAGCTGCGGGAAAGCTGCTGTTTCTGTCCCGTGCTGTTTGCTGCAGGAGTTTTGGAAGGGCATTCACGGATTCTTGCCTTTCTGTGGGTAGATAAAGCCCCTCAACCTTTCTAGACAATAATCATTCTCCCTTGTGAAATGAAACTAACTGCATTATTCCCTGAAACTAGTCCCCTGGGCATTGAGAATAACTTAAGGATATAGACGGGCAGATAAAGAGGGTTGGAAGAATGAGAGTCAGGCTGGACCACATGCTGCTTGGACCGTGGGCTGTGTTACGTCCTGGGATAGGCTTCTCCTGAATGCGAGGTTTGTGAGATGGTTTAACTCACAGGACTTGCAAAAAGGGCCAAAGGGGTCCTGCTCCTTAGTTCAGTGATAACAAAGCAGTTATACCAGGGATGAATTGGGGACCCTTGTTTAAGAAGCAACAGCGGCTACTAAACCTAAGAGCAGCCTTGGCAACCTGGCTGTATTGAATACACAAAGGTCTGTACAGAATGTACCTTTGATAACAGAAAACAAAGGAAAAATGAAGCGATGAAGCCTCGGAAATTTTGATGATAGGTACAAGGCTGTGACGTTCTTGACAGACCTCTCTTCCACCCCAGAGCTGGTGCTTTGATCTAGTAGTACCTAAGATTATTTAGTGAGAGAAAGCTTTTGAAAACATTTGGTTGGTGATACCAACACAAATTCTGCATTCTGGAGAGGCACAGTTGAAAACTGCTCCTGGAGAAAACTGTTTATAAAAACACTCCTTTTCTGAAATACACATGCAGAAACCTCCACTTGCTACAGAGTCACACATTTCCTCCTCCTTGTTGCTAGATACAGTGAAACTTACAGCAGGGTGCTCCAGCTGTAGTGCTGACTCCAGAGCAACCTGGGGGTTTCAAGCACCAGTTATGCTAAATCTTAGGGTAAAGACCCTCTTCTCCCAAGCAGCAAATTTGGACTGGGATTTTTAGGTTTCACGTGTGTTTCAGGGTGACAATCTTTTGTACAGAGTTCGTATCTCGTGAACAGTAAGTGAAGTGAACACAGGAAAGTGGAAGGGGCTTTGTGTGTCTTTGAATCTCAGCACTGTGCAAGGAAGAGAGGGTGCAGGAACCTCTGAGTTTGTTGTCTTTTGGAGGTTGATAGTTGCATCTGGGAGAAAATCTTAGAGAGGACCGCCTTATTGCTTCCTGTAACCAAAACACAAAGGTTTGCTTCAAATGGTTGAAAATCCTCCCTCTGTTTACTGGAAAAACACTTTTGAGCACCAGAGATTTCTATAAATTGTTTCGCTAGATCAATTATGTTCTAAAGCCTGAAAGACTGTCGGTGCAAGAGTATCTTTGCTATCTGCTGGGCATTTGTGTGCACTTTGCTTTTCTCCCAGGTTCAATTTCAGATGTTGGCCAGGGGTAACTGCACTTTCCAAGTCCCTGCGAAAATGCAAATGTATTGAAAGGTTAATGTCCCCTGTTGTAATTAACGAATTTGTAATATTTGCAAAGAGAAAATCATCATTCCCATCTCTGGAAATTTTGGTTCAACTGCCAAAGTGAAATTGGAAGGCCAAATGAATGTTACAGTATGCTAGATATATAGATTTTTATAGCATCCCCAAGATATTTCCTGAGAAGTGCTGATTTCCTATTAGAGAAGTGAAGGACAGATCCTAAAGTCTTTGTCTCTGGATGGAAACAGAATTGAATGCGCTACAGAATTAATGAATAATCATGTCCTTTGTTTGAGCGTTAGTCCTTTCTTATGGACATCTGGGTTATAAGGGACGAATGCACTTGGTAAGGGAAGGGAAGGGACTCATATGAGGTTCTAAATGAAGAATACTCCAGACCACTCCTGTGAAGACACTTGGCATCACTGTCATTATCTCTTCAAGATGAGGTATCAAGGCAATCAAGGAAATGGAAAATGAAACCTCTCATAGCCAGGAAAACTTCCACATTATTTGACTGAAATTGGAATTCAGTCACATCATTCTTGTCTCTCCAGATTTTTCTTGCCACATCTGCTAAATTATCACCAGCTATTTGCGTTTTAAATGAGGTCTTCCTCCCGCACAACCCATCTGCTCAGCTTGTTTGTTCTTCCAGTGCAGTCACGATTTTGTGATCATGTTTATGTCAATGGAAACGTATTGGTGTTGGGAGCAAAAGAAAGAGGGGCCCCAAGGTGGCCTTACAACTTCCCTTGATGGAGATGAATTAGAAATGGAGACTGGGTTAAAAGAGGGGGAAGAACCAGGGCAAAAGAGTCAGAAGTTCAGGCCACTTTAAGATAAATCTTCTCTTCTTCTAGCACTGTCCTAGTGGATGCTTACGATTACACAGCAGAGATTCATCTCTAAGATGAACTAGCTCACCTGTGCGTGTTCTAGGTGGTCTTAGTGCCAGAGAAGAAAAAGAAATTAAGGTTTTTCTTGCATGAAGGTGGGGGAAAAGGTGAGGACACTTTACAATGTTAATATCTGTCTCATCAAAATGGAGAGGCTATTGGTTTCAGAAGTTATCTTCTGCTCACCTTGGTGTGACAAATCTGAGGATATGACTATAGACATGGAGAGGTATAGCAGAGGTCCACAAAGTTGTGAGTGACATGAAGAGATTGAGTAGGGCTGACTGTTTATGATCCCTTCCAGCCCAAGAGCCAGGCCACAGCAAAAGAAACTAAGAGAAATCAGATACAGATCCAAGATGCCTCTACCTGACCCCTCAAATGTAAGGCAGTTCTGGCCCTTAATCTAAATTATTTTCTAAATAATAGGCTAATACTATGACTAACATGGCTCTGTAGCTTACAGACAAGAACTGTCCTGTGTCCACCAGCTTAAGTCTATCTGCACTGCTTAAACAGATAAGATAGAGAGATCTGCCAGCACTTTGTACAGCTCCCCCTGAGAAGAGAAAGATGGGACATGCTAAAATGCACCCAGTTCTGTTTTCTTCTCCCCTCTTTTATGGGAGGGGAGCTGGCTGCTTTGACACTCAGTGTTGAGAGTAATAATAAATAGGAATGACCAAATTCTTCCTCTCTGTCAGAAAAGAGGGGAAGCGGAACGGGGGGAGGCCCCAAGGAGAGATGAAATAATATGTGGGAGCAGGATACCTCCCACTGCCCCACAGGCCTGAGAGCAGAAGGGTAATGTCTGTAAACTGCATACATCTCAGGGTGGAGGCCTGCCAGGGATTTGGGGTCACAACATAGCCTACCTTGCTTATTTAACAGTCACTCATGCCTAGTGCCCCTTTTCTATAATGAGAAGGATGGACGATGAAATGTGGAAGCTTGATACCCAGCTGATGCCTTCCCAGAGAAACTAAGACACTTTCAAAGCTGAGGGTGGGCTTTCCTTGCTGAGAAATGAAGAAAAAGACAAGCGTTCAGGCTGCTTCTTCTTAGTTCCAAAATAATTTGAAGGCTTTAATGTGGCTAACAACTAACCCTGCACAACAGTTGCCTTTCAGCTATAAGGACCCAAAGTGCTTTATCCAATTAGGATCTCATTTTGCCCTATCTGCTTGCATAGAGATCAGTCACCCATGCCCAAAAGCAGCTGTCTCCTGGGTGCAGCAGAGCAGCCAGGAGAGCAGAAAATACTGTATGCATCCGTGGAGATGCTAGGAAAGAACAGAGAGGAATACATGAGCCCTAAAGCAGTACCTATGAGTGAAGAATTTGCTTATGATGGCCCATGTGTGGACACAGCCATGCTAGAGCCTCTACCTTCTCTTGCTTTGACGTCACTGTCCTCCGGCTGAAGAGAGAAACCAAAAACTTTTCTGTAAAGACAGCAGCAGGCCTGGCTCTGGGCAGGTTCCTACAGAAGATGCTGGAGGACTGTGTGGCAGCTGCTTTTGGATGAATCAGTGTTTCCAGTTAAACTCAATGTTTGGCTCTGATTCATGGCAGCTCTTGCAGGAGATGGGCTTGGAGGAAGCTGCAATTCATCCGCTTTTGACTGGGTGATGGATGGATTCCTTCAAGCTTTGATTCCCTGTGCTGAGGGCACAGAGGCTGCCTCCCTCACCTCAGTTTCTCCTGAGCAGACAGCAGATGAGATCATGAGCGGTTGTCCTTGGGGAGAAGGCAGCTGTGGCATTTCCACTCAGGAGGGCTCTGGGTACTATTGCAACACTGAGAGTTTCCCAGACCTGAGCCTGGCCTGAAGATGATCTCGGCGGGGTGTTTGTCTGTTTTGCAAAATAAGAGGGTGAGGAAAAACCGTGCAGGAGCTTTTGACCATGGAGAAAGTGCTATGGCAGGCAGTCTGCTCCTGTGTGTGTGTGGTATGTGTGCTTTACATCCCACCTACTGCTGGGAACTGAGCTCCAGCTCTGCAGTGAAGAGCTAAATGCAGGTCCTCTGCCAAGACACGAGTTGCTAAAGCCGGATCTCAGGGACTGCTCCTACCACAGCCCCTCCAGCCACAACCCCTCCATCCAGCAGAACAAAACCTGCCTCACCTATGGGAGATTCCTCTTGCCCTTGAGGACAGGTGGTCACACCGCTGCAGATTTGCCAGCTTTAACTGCTCTAATCATTGCAGCTTACAGGTTCCCAATGTCCTGAACTTGCGCCCAGCCCCTGGGCGAGGCTGTG